GCACTTAGTGTTGACATTTTACTTACATCTGTAATACATTTTACTTGCATTTGTAATACATTTTACTTACACATAGGTGCACTATATGAAACTTTTACTTGCACTTGTAACACATTTTACTTGCACTTCGATGTCAATTATTTACGAAAATATCACCTCATTTTTTTTTAAACTCAGTGCTTCTCATCCGTTAGATCTGGACACGTGAACGGGTAGCATGCATTCTCATTTTTTTCCTAGGCGGGCAGTTCGCATCTGCCCACTCATATACATATATATATATATATATATATATATATATATATATATATATATATATATATATATATATATATATATATATATATATATATATATATATATAAAATTAGGTTCCTGTGCGGTTAGGGTGCCCAGGTGCGGTTGTGCGGTTTAATCTGGGCTATTCATCTCGCTTAAATCAACGTCCAGGATTACCAAAATTAAAAAAAAAAAAAAAAAAAAAAAAGGTGGTAATTTTGTAATTTTTGCATTTAGGGCAAAATTAAGGTTAGCGGATCTGTGATTAATGTGCGTGGGGTTGTGCTTAACGTGAGTAGTTGTTAAAACTTAAAGTGTGAACTTTTGTGCTTAAGGTGCGTGAGATTTGTTATTAATGTGAGTGGAGTTTGTGCTTAATGTGCGTAGGGTTTGTGCTTAATGTGTGTGAGGTTAGTGATTAATGTCAGTAGTTGTTGAAACTTAAAGTCTGTGAGTTAATACTTAAAGTGCGTGGGGTATGTGCTTAATGTGCATGAGGTTGTGCTTAATGTGCGTGGGTTTTGTACTTAATGTGCGTGAGTTTGTGCTTAATGTCAATAGTTGTTGAAACTTAAAGTCTGTGAGTTAATATTTAAAGTGCGTGGGTTTTGTGCTTAATGTGCGCGAAGTTATGCTTAATGTGTGTGTGTTTTGTACTTAATGTGGGTGAAGTTGTGCTTAAGATCTAACACTTAAGGTGCGTGTTTCTATCACTTAAGGTGCGTCATTTTTAGCTTATGCTTCTTTCTTCCAGACACGCGTTTTTTTAAAAAAAAAATTTCATTCATTTGAGCCGTTGATCTAAATTTGATCAACGGCTCAGATCTAACCGCACAACCGCACGGGAAGTTATACCCGCACCTGAACCCTTCCCTATATATATATATATATATATATATATATATATATATATATATATATATATATATATATATATATATATATATATATATATATATATATATATATATATATATATTAAATTAAGACTTAAATTTTTAGTTTTTAAAATTTAAAAGTACACTAATTTAAGATTTTGACTAAGAATTGATAAGGATGGGGCTTAATTTTCGGACAGGAATGGAACTATTTTCAATTTCCTGGCGGAGGTGGGAACGAGGTCGGGATTTCAGGGACGGAAGCGGGAAGTATACTCCCCACCCCATCCCGTCTTCACTCTGTTGTCATCCCTAGTTAAATTTCTGCAAGTCACTATTAACTAATATAAAAAGAAAAAATATGGTGAGGTATCATTAAATAAATAAATAAAAAAGGACATAGTACATAGCAATATGGAATATATAAACGTACTGTTAGACAATTGCTGCTGAAAAGAAAAGTCCCAATGCATTCAGAAAACAGCACACGCATGAGCTAAAACCTTAAATTCTGAACATTTATAAACGGTGTCTGCCCACTTCATTTGTTTCCTTAAGCTTTTGTCAGAATGTCCTTTATATTATATGTACTTATACTTTGTGTGCATCTCTGTTCATGTATACTTTTCAAAGAACTTTAACCCCAACTAAGAGAGTTTTTTGCACTTTTAGTCCCACGACTATAGTGGCACTGGCAGAATTGATCCACGACTTTTGAACCTTGCAATTTTAATCCACGACTATTGATTCTTTTGCAAAAATGGTCCTTCCGGCCACTTTTCCGTCAAAATTTCACCGGAAAAAAAAAATTCTCCATTTTTAACCGGGTTAAAATTGACATTTTACTTATCTCAAAAAATTAAAAAAAAAAATTGATATTTAACTACATACATTATTACTGGGCTACATACTACTGTCCCAGGCGGCGGAGTTCTTGGAGCAGGCAGGACTGTCAGTAAGCAGCGGAGCGGCCGTGGCGTTCCCCGGGCTAGTTGGGTTATCCGACAGCAGCATTGGAGTGGTACATGTACTCCGCCGCCTGGGGCAGTAGTATGTAGCCCAGTAATATTGTATGTAGTCAAATATTAATTTTTTTCTTTTAATTTTTTGAGATAAGTAAAATGTCAATTTTAACCCGGCTAAAAATAGAGATTTTTTTTTTCAGTGAAATTTTGACGGAAAAATGGCCGGAAGGACCATTTTTGCAAAAACATCAATAGTCGTGGACTAAAATTGCAATGTTCAAAAGTCGTGGATCAACTCTGCCAGTGCCACTATAGTCGTGGGACTAAAAGTGCAAAAAACTCCCAACTAAGATAACTAAAGATACAAAGTGTAACTAACTAACTACAAAATCATAAATTCGAATTTCAATCCTTTTGATTTGAGATGATCAGCTATAAACAACTTAGACCGATTTACCTTCTTGTAATCCTTTATTAACTAGGGTCACAAAGAGAAATTTACTCAGTACAATAATAGTTATAAATTTCCCTCGTCACCCAAAATAAAATTATAAAAAGAATTCTTGGGTATGACAAGAAATTGCAATTAAAATGTGGGGAATGCAAGTGTGAATAGACTTTTCCCGTGTCACCCAGGCATTATTATACTCCTTTTTTAATAATGCTTATCTAATTCTTCCAAAAGGCTGAACCCCAACTTTAAGGGCCAACAATGCTTATCTAATTAACTCTTAATAACGTTGCCAATGACCTTATGATCTAGTGATACAAAGTGACTCTAGATCATGGGAAAATACTTCCTCCGTTCCATTTTATATGTTGGGTTCGGTTAACGGAATTGACTACAGTTATTACAATTTAATTTCTCATAATATTAGTTTAGAATTAGTATGAAAAATTTTATATATTCAGAAACTACATTAAAAGTACTATTAGACACAAAAAATTAAATTTAAAAATTATAAAAAACTTTTAATAAAAATAAACAAAGAAGAAAGAGTTGGTTTAAGTGTTTAACCAATTAATAATAAGAGTGTAAGACAGATAAAATGAAATAGAGGGAGTAGCATTTTTCAAAGTAAAATATAGTCAACTTGTGGGCCCCACACCCCCTGCCATGAGAACTGTGAAAGAAGATAAATTACAGAATGTGTCTAAGTGATGCAGGGCCTAAGTGCTTTCTTATTTTCTCAAGATTCTCCGCCGTTAATGATTCGAATTTAGAGTATTTGCTGGATTACTACACTCACACTCAATATTTCAAGCACTAAGAGCATTTACATCAGAGAATAATACAAAGGTTATACACGATTTTGAGAAAGTGAGTGCTTACATGGAGGAAAGAAGTGTAGGAGAGAGAAGATTGGAGTTCATCTGCCAAGGGTTGAGTTATTTCAGATATGTGAGACCCACAACAAAATTATTCCAATTGTGACAGCCACTCACCATTGCGTCCAGCGGTCGCGTCAGGCGCGCCAGTCAGTCACCTTTTATTTTTATTTTTTAAAAAATAAATTTTACTTTTTTTTCTCTCCCATCCCATTTTCTCTTTTCTAATCACACTTACAAAAACTCTTCAAAAACTACAAAATATTTTCACTATTATGGATGCTCAAAGTTATGCCCGAGGCAACGTGTATAGCATCAATGCTGGATTGCTAGTGTAGTCAAGAATTACCAAAAGAAAAGGTGATGCAAAAAAAAAAAAAAAAGATGTACGAGCACGTGCCTAGGAAGCAGTGAAGAAATTTCTATGCATAAGTTCTTTGGCCAATCATATGTGAGAAGCACCCATCTAGACACTGCCCCCTGCTAGACATATAGCAATAAAGCTGCTTTAATGGGTAATGTGTTCGATATTTTATTGTGAGTGTTGTGATAATGCCATGTTACCGAATAATAACAATCTCAACAGAGTTGATGATGCAATAACAACCACAAAACTAACAGCTCTCTAATCTCTATGACATGATCCAAAGCATTAGGTGAGAAATAAAATCAGAGAATCTTACAATTAGTCAATGTGTCAAAGGACCACCTGCATTATAATTGCATTACTTGCCAATACATCCATCGCTGCACAAAGCCTAATGCAATGCCTTGAGAAAAATCAACGTGACCAGTAAATTTGTAGTTGAGTTTCTCACCGTGATCACTTTTAAGATCAGGCGTTTATCACTATACCAAAAGTTATAGCTGATACGAATGCGCGATTTTATTTCCTTATACTATCACACATTTTTGGAGTGTTTGGTAAATAGTTGTTAGCTGATGGTTAGCTGATTGAGTTAGTGGATTTGACTAGTTGATAGCATTAGCAGATTGTAGAAAGATGTTTGGTAAATTAGCTGATAGCTGATTATATACAAAATGACTTCCTCAAAAAGCTTACTGAAAAAACTGCTTTGAGCAGATTTTTGAATGTTAGTGTTTAGGAGCAATAAGCTGTTACAAAAAGCTGCCAAGCACCTTGTACTCAGATGGCACCCGGTTTGGACTCCCATATGGAGGTTGTGAGTTTGAGTTTCAGTGAAGGCGTTATTGGCGCTCTTATTTTACCAAACAGGACCAATTTTTAGAGTCAGAGTGTTGCACTTGGCCTTAGCTCTTTACCAGTCTCCGCCCAACAATCACAAATATCAAAGCACATTAAAATTAATTTAGTTTTGCAGTCAACATGCCATGCAGGTTATTTGCCAATGCCTTTAGTTCTTCATGCTTTGTTTAATATAAGTTCTTCAAAAAATAATAATGAATGTGTTGTTTTCATGACATATAAGTATGGGAATCTCCTCAGATGATTGTCAATGTTTCAGCACAATGACAGATATATTGTATAATAAAAGCTAAAGACTGAATCAATTCAACTGTTCTGATGTGACTAAGTAGAGATTTATTAAAGGGGGATTGGATTGATTAGTATTTGGACAAAAATTCTATTTCCCTATCTTGGGAAATCAACAGATGGAGAAGACAAATACTCCAGAACAGACCATTTATATCCATGTCCAAGATGGATTCTTAAAGCTGCTAAATAGATAATTACCAACAGAAATAGAACTTGACCGAATATTGGCATAGTTACCTTCTGGGCGCTAAATTGTACTTGTAACTATGGTGGAGGGGAACTTTGGCGGGTTCGAGTTTTTCAGACAGGAACCCAGCAAGAAATGGCGTAAATCGTTCTCCCTTTCCATCCGAGCAATAGCCACTGGCCATCTTCATCGATCACAAAGTCTTTGTGGTAGCCTGTTCTCACCTTATCCCTTGCTTTGTTCATGATTAGATTTGCGAAAGGTATTTGAGTGAAGCCCGCCCTCAGATTACGTACTTGCCATTGCTTGTATGTCTCAGGCCTTTCAACTCTCTCCCAGCCCTCACAAGCCATGATATTCAAGGCTTCCCTTCCAAATATCTCTCTCTCGATTAACATCCGTTCTGGAATATCACGAGGCACGTTGGTTTCAAGCATATCGAAGAGAGCTGAGAAGTGGAACAGGGCCTCACGGAACCGAGTTACAAAGAAAGGGGCACTATAGGCTCCATTGACAATCCCATGGATGAAGATGTCGGGATTTATCTTCCTTATAAGATTGAGAACAAGAGTTCTAGACCCTTCAGCCAGCACAGTCTCGTCATGCAAGTTCTTGAATCGATACAAGCAATTGACAACGAGAAATTCGTCCTTGTCAAGCTTAAGATCCTCGAGGGTGATAGTTTCCCATTTCTTTGCTATGGCATTGTATTCGAATGGCACGTTAAACGACTTTGCATAATCAGCCAAACGGCGCCCAGTCTCCTCGATTCTTTCTGCTGGCCTGAAGCCAGGTTGGGGAAACTCGATGCCCGTAATCCGAACTTTAGGTGGCCCACCATCTCTGTCAGCAATACGTTGAATAAGAGTTGGCCATTGAAAGCCATAGAGGATGCCAAAATCTATGATATGAACCCTCATAGAATTTGCAGATTTTATAATGGTGGTCTTGTTCGAGGCGAAACACGAAATCTTCCTGAAAGGGCACGAGGCAAGGTATAAATGATAGGCCTTCAAATAATCAGAAGCCGATGTTCTTTTGTTGACAAGGGCCTTATATATCTGGCTGCCCGTCCCAGCTAACCGAGCCTCGAGACCATCTGCAAAGCAATTAGCCAACCTCTGAGACCCATCCCCGAAAGGCGAGGAATGCTGCCTGATCTGTTTCAGGAGTTCGTTCGCACCCCTACGATCATCAGCAGCAACGGCCTGTGCACAAGTAATCAAAAGCGTCCTCAAGTCAATCACATCTCGTTTCCCGTTCTGCTTTTTCCCACGGCCCTTCCCTCCCCCGGGACCTTTCGAGTTCCCATTCTGCTGTATTTTTTTCCCAATAGCACTCTGCAAGTTCTGACGATACGCTGCTAAAGCTTCCTCGCCCTTCCCCATGCTATGAAGTAATACTATGTCAAATTCCTCGGACCGGATTGTCGATTCTGCAAAAATTGCAGCCTGCTTGCTACTTCTCTGGTCTTCCAAATCTTCTCTATGAGGATTCTTTCTCACTCTTAGAGACTTCTCACTGGTTTCTCGTGTTGGCTCCTCGGTTACCAATTGATTGGCATCAAAACTTGCCAACAACTTATCGTTAGTCGGGAGAAATTTATTCCCTTCTTCAACCCCCTTCTTGAAATTCCAGATAGGCTGGCTCTCGCTATATATATTAGGGATACAAAAAGAGCTCACCGGGGATTCAACAAAGCCATCTACTCTATTGTTAAAACTATTCGAGGAGCTAACCGATGAGTTGGAGCCATTAGGAACCGAAAAACCGTGCAAATAAGGACTAATGTAATCACCAGTAACGTTGATCGACCCGGGGTCAATTAGATAACTGCTCCCCTCGTTGCTACCCGTTATGTAGTAGTAATTGTGATGATTCTCGGATTCATATTCACCTAGACTCCCATTACTTTGGTTAATTATCGAGCTGCTACCCGGACCCGGACCGCTATTGGTTATGTAAATTTGGTGATTCTCAGCTTCATAGTCGCCTCGACTCGAACTGATTTGGTGAACCAGAGATGGATTTCGTTCTGGCGTGGGCGGGTACTTCTTACCAAGCGCCTCATAGAATGACCTTTCTTTAGCTTGAAGCTCCAAAGATTCTTGAAGCATATATGTCTTGTCCTCCATTTCTTCTTCCATGAGAATCTGGTTTATATACCTCAAATCCGCATCCGAGAAATCATCATCCTCGTAATCATCCTGATTAGAAGTCAATGCCACATTTCTTGATAAAGGATCATGGGAACCCTCAAAATTGTGCCCCCCACCCAATGAATTATCAGTTCTAGGCCCATCAATCAGTTCCCGATCTTGATAAACATCTTCAAAATTGAATCTATTACTAACAGGAGGATCTGGGAAAAAGGGCAAGGATTGGCTCCCAACCCCAACTCCATTCCAAGAACCCGAAAACCCATATAGCCTTGGATCCATTCAAATATTCAATTCTAAAACCGGCAATCGAAATCAGTCCAAACCCAGAATCTGTAAAGCAATTTTGAGCTCTAAATCAGAACAAACACATGCAAATATAGATTCAAGAATAATAACAATAATAATAATTAGAGCAGCACCTTCTGAGAGTAAAGATTCAACTTTGAACAGCTCCAAAGACTAGGTGACAAGACATTATCCACCATTAGACTAAAAGGGCACACAATAAATCATGAACTTGTGAAAGAAAAGTAGCCATTTTTTCAACAGAAAGTTGGGTCCCGTGTAAAGTCTAGTAACTTGAAGAAAATCCCAGAAAGAAGGTGAGCATAGAGAAAGAAAGATACCTGAGAGGAGAGAGAAGAAGAGAGGGAGGGAGTCTTGGAGTAAGATATGGGGGGCTTGGGAAGCGGGTTTGAGCTGGGGAAGTAAGTAGTCGCTGCTCAGTGCTCAAGTTTGAATCTTTATGAGCTTCATGAATCCTCAAGAAACATGGGCAAAGCCTATCACTGCCGTTGAAAAAGTTAACCGGTTAAGGGGTTTTTGACTTTTTTCATTGATGTGATTGGGAATTACACCAAAATGGACGACCATTATATTTTCTTTACACCAAAATGGTCACGTTTGTGCCCTTTTAAGTTGCAGAAAATATTTTCTATCAAAACTCTTTTTTTTTTTTTTTGGTTCTTGATTTGTGTGCAATTAATTATTCAGTAATGTTTTTATGTTTTTTTTACCTTTTATGATAAGATAACTAAATGTGAAATGAGATATAAATCTAGGACAAAAAAAGAAGGTGAATTAACATTTAGAACTACTTTAATTCTCTCTCGTCTCTGGTTTTCATTTGCTCTAATTCCCATACGACCGCCATCTCCGTGAAGCAAGCGAAGGCGGCGTCCGATCGTTTTCTCCTGCCGTCATCTCCACCGCAAATAGCGTCCGTCTTCACTATTATTTTCCCTGCCTCCACCGTCTTCTCTTCCATTCTCTGTCATTGCCACCACTACCAGTCGTTATTTCCTTATTTTCGCACTGTTGTTTCCCTTTGCTTTGTTTTACTGATTTTATTTTGTTTGCAATTTCTGTTTTTTTCCTCTCATTGTTTTGACGAGTTTCTTCCTCTCATTTACTTGAGGTTTTTTTTCGTAAAGCGTGAAACGATAAAACTGGTCATGGCGTATGTGAATCTCATGATGGGTGACAAATATGACAATAAAAAAGAGACTCATCTGAACTATGATATGCAGTTTAGCCCGATAGAGATATTGTCAATGGATAGAAGAATGGAAATAGATCAGATACTCAGGTGGTGTGTAAGTCTGTAAGACTATTCAACCAGAGTCAGTCTTGGGTACGTTTGACAAAATCATTAAAGAAGCTTTAATTTCCTCCAAAGAATTCCGCTTCAAATTTGTGAAAAAATCTGTGAATCAAGTTTCTGTAGCATTACTAGGGAAGTTGTTTCTATGTCTAACTGTACGGAATGTTTGACCATTCCATCGATCTTTATTGTAAACGTTTCAGCCTATGATTAATGAATTAGCTTCTTTATTTTCAAAAAAAAAAAAAAAAAGTCTTGGTATTTAACGTCATTTAAACGATTTAGTTGACAGATGACCAAAAATAGTCATGCCACAATAATATTAGGACCAAATGGAGATGTTTTTAAAAGTAAGGACTAAAAATAGATTGACACCTATAAATCTAGAACAAAAAATAAAATTAACTCCAAGGTATTTATAATTTATTTTTATATTTAACTTAATTTTAAAGAATAAATTTTATTTATTTAAAATTATATTATAAATTTTATTAAATACAAATAGTTAAACTTTAGAATTATAAATGAACGTTAGCATTAACAAAGATGACTGACATGTAGTTTCATTATTAAAGTTTCTTGTCCTAATATGTAATTTCTCTTATTTATTCATATTTTTTTAACAAAGATATTAGTATATTAACATGTAATTTTGTCATTCAACCACAATGGTTGGTAATTGTTTTAAAAATAAATAAATTAATTAAAATTTTAAAATTAAAAAAAAATGTTCAATTAGTATCCACATAAACATTAGAACACTACATGTTAATTCACTACATCAATGGTAACATACTGAACATATAATGTTAGATCTTTTTTTTTTTTTTGAAAGTTACTGGCTCTATTACATTGTAGTATCTGTTCATATACTTTCTCAACCTACTGAAACACAAAAAACCAATAAACGCCTCCACTAAGGCTCGAACTCATAATCTTCCAAATGGAAGTCCAACCCGGGTACCATTAGACCACATAGTCCTGGTATATAATGTTAGATCTAATTGTATTATTTTATTGATTTAAGGGATCTAATTAAAAAAGATGAGTTTTTTTCCAAAATGTTCCCTTGACTATAGCTCATTCTCAATTTTGCATTTCGACTTTTAATTGCACCCAATGTGGTCTCTTGACTTTTAAAAACTCCCCCAAATCGGTCATCCGTTAGAAATTCCGTCTATTGAGTGTTAAAATGAAGGGCATTTTCGTCCGTTTACCTATTATATGCCTAATATACTCTGAAAAATAATCGAGGGACCATTTTGGGAATAGTCGAGGGATCATTTTGGGAAAAACTCATTTATTTATTTCATTTTTGTTTATTTCTATTTTTTTAAGACTATCAAATTAAAATTTCTATACATTTTTTTTTTTCTTACAAATATAAATAGTTAAAATTCACAATCAAAAGTCAAAATTTTAAACTTTCTCTACAAATTTTTTCCTTCTATATAAACATACCAACTTCCCTCTATTCCTATCAAGTTTTACAATAAGTTCCGTAAGTTTCAAAAATATAATACTCATATACTTTTTATGTTCACACACACACACACACACACACACACAAACTTCAATAGACAATCGATCACTATGTATCACATTAAATATTATTTTTACCAATAAAAATAACATTACTATTTTTATCAGTTTAGACACCCAAAATGTACGCTTCATTTCTCGGTCAGTATGCCTTTGAAAATAAAATTATTATTTTTACAATCAATCGCTATGCTTCTAGCACTTCTTGGAACTGAGAAGTACGCGTCACTTCTCGGTCAATGACAAAATCATAGAAAATATTTTTGAAAAGTTGGCTTAACTTAACTTGCAAGGCCATTAGTTTCATTCCAAAGTTAGTACAAATCATAACTACCATTTCCAAATGCCTATCTACCAAGAAGTACATCATGCTAAAGAGAGTCTACAACTATGGCTATCAATTTTATGTGTTAAAGGACAAGTAAAATAAACCAAATGCAAAAATAATTAGCACAAAACAAGCAATTCTAAACCTAAAGCCTCATCATTTTTCAATATTACAAGTTCTTGTCATTTTGAAGTTTGTTTGTATTTTATATATGAATATAAATAAACTTAAATTTGAAAGTTAAACTTGTTTACCAAAGTATGAAACTTATTGTAAAACTTGATAGGGATAGAGAAAAATTTTGTATGTTTAGACAGAAGGAAAAAATTGTAGAGAAAGTTTAAAAACTATTTATATTTGTAAGAAAAAAAATCTATAGAAATTTTAACATGATAGTCTTAAAAAAATGGAAATAAATAAATGAATTTTTTCCAAAATGGTCCCTCGACTATTCCCAAAATGGTCCCTCGACTATTTTTCAGAGTATATTAGGCATATAATAGGTAAACGGACAAAAATGCCCTTCATTTTAACACTCAATAGACGGAATTTCTAACGGAGGACCAATTTGGGGGAGTTTTTAAAAGTCAAGGGACCACATTGGGTGCAATTAAAAGTCGAAATGTAAAATTGAGAATGAGCGATAGTCGAGGGACCATTTTGGGAAAAATCTCTAAAAAAGAGTTATTCTACAAGCATTGGGGGGGTGTGGTTCAGGTTATATAACATAATCAAGGGAATGTGACATTCCAAAGCTAACATTTCTATGTTTGGTTCATATTATCAAGGAATATAACATTCCCAAAGAATGAAATATTCCCCTCCCCATAAGATTTTAAAAGGAATGTGATTCTTTTCCATTTCTTAGGTTATGTAAGATAACCTTGAATATTTATACATTTTGTCTTTTTTTTTTGTCATTTTAATTCTAATTATTTAAAAATATATATTTTATGTTAGCTTATTATTATTATTATTATTATTATTATTATTATTATTATTATTATATTTTTTATTTTTATTATGTTATGTTAGAATATAAAATAATTTTGTTTCTCAAGTTTAAAATTTTAGTTAATATTTTAAAATCATGTAATTATATATGATACCGTTATTTTATTTATTTATTTTAATTTTTAAATTTATATATATATATATATATATATATATATATATATATATATATATATATATATATATATATATATATATATATATATATATATATATATATATATATATAAAGATAACTCTAAACCAAACATGATTATATTACATACCTCAATTTTAACCAAACACATGAATCTATTCCGTAAATTAGCAATTCATACTCTCTTAGATATCTATTGCAGCCCAAAAAGTCAATATATCACCATCAGAGGTCGATCTTATGACCTTCCTTCAAGGGGAGCTACAGAGGTGCCATCTAAACACAAGGTATTTAGCACATGTTTGTTAGACTTAAATGACGAATTTAACATTTTTTTTCTGTATAGTTTTATTTCTTTATACATTAAGGAATAAGGACTAAGGAGATGTCAAATAGCTTGTAGTTTAATGGCATCTCTATGACTTTTTTAAACGGGAGGTCATATGTTTGAACTCTAGTGGGGGTATTGACTCTTTATACACGGATATTACATTATAATAGAGTCAGTAGTATTAAAAAAAAAAAAAAAGGAGTAAGGAGTTATTTTTTATTTTTCAACTTAGTTTTCCTTATCAGAAAGGGACAATTGCTATACGGTGAACAATGGTCCATACAACTGTGTGGACCATGGTCTAAAAATAACTAACAAAAATCTCGTATTTGTGATGTGCTCAAAATAAAATGAAACTACAATATATCTAAAATGAAAATAGATAATATGTCTCACATATTGAGTATATATTATCAAATGAAACTGTAGTTGAATTGAAATGATACTTTAGTTGTGCTTAAATGAAATTACAGTATGTATAAAATAAAACTAAATAACATGTCTCATATATTGAGTATATATTGTCAAATGAAACTGTAGTTGAATTGAAATGATACTTTAGTTGTGCTGAAATGAAACTACGGCATGTATAAAATGAAATTAAATAACATGTCTCACTTATTGAGTATATATTATCAAATGAAACTGTAGTTATATAAAAATGATATTTTAGTTGTATTGTAATAAAACTACAGTTAATATAAAATGAAACTGAATAACAATTTCACATATTTAAGTGTATATTGTTCAATGAAACCGTAGTTGAATTAGAATTATACTTTAGTAGTGTTGTAATAATACTGTAGTGTGTATAAAGTGAAATTCAATAACAGATCTCATATATT